GTGTGTGGCCAGGGCAGACACAGGAAAATGAACCAACCTGATTTCCTTTTCTTAATTAAGACAGTTTTGAGCTGTGAAAGTAAAACACTGTTGTCATCTCTTTATTGGTTGGTCCTTTAATAAAATAGGTTCTTGTGGACGTGCTGTAAATATGAATGATAAAGCTGAAAAAATAATGGATTATAATGGAAATTCCAAGTAAAGACAGTTTAAGCCTGGGCATTCCTCAAAAGGAACCTCTCCTCTCAGAAACCTCTACTACAGGCTTATTTTTCTCAGGTAACAGGTTGGCATTATTAGCTCAGTGGTTCAATGATATTAGAGCTGGAAAGCACCAAACACATCTCTTTCTTTTATTAGGAAGGGTAATCTTTTCCCCAAGACCCCGCCTGACTTCCCTTGCCAGGTGATTACCAGGACTGGATCACATGGCTACCCCTCCATGCAGGAATGTCTGGGGAAGTGGGAAGTGAGTGGTTGTGATTGATTTACACCAATCAAAATTCATTCCTTGGGGTTGGACATGTTTTTACCCCAGTCAAAATTAAGGTTTTATTAGCAAGAAGGAGAAATAGCTAATCATGTGTGCCCCATAGTCCATTTTCCCTGTCATTTTTGTTACTTGGAGCCACATGGAACAGGATATTGGAAGCACGTAAGAGGGCCACTGTTTTCAATTTTATTCTCACCGTGATCCAGAGCACAGCAGGAAGCAAAAACACTCACCTTGTAATCGAGGGAATGTCCTCATGTTGCAATTCGTGTCTTTTCAGGGGCACTACTTCCTCTAATTCACTCCTATATGGAGACCAACACGCTTTACCTCATTCTCCATCCTCCCTCAAAGCTTGGTTCCAACACATTTTGATGGCTGCAGAGCAAACAGCAGAGCTTTTCTACTTGTCACAGTCATGCATACCTTTTCAGGCTGATAATAGAGGGGAAAATAAGATGTCAGAAATAGATAACTATTTCAGCCAACAGGTGCTCTTTGTGTCTAAAATGAAAAGCAAAACAAATCTCTGAACCTTAAACATTAGAGATCCAGAGATAATGCAATGATGAAAGATAAAGTTAGTATCACAGCAGAGAGGAAACAGTTTTCATCATTGGTGACAGGTTAGCAGACGGTCTACACATTGACTTTTTATTTCAGCTTTGAGTTATATTAATGTTCTCTCATCCTAGAATGTTTCCTTCTCTGGTAGCAATAAATTAGAATTATGACCATTTGGTTAGCAGTCCTGTTTTGGATATTGGAGATTGGAGGTAGTTGCAGGGAGGTGGGGTAAGAGGGGATATTAAAGACATATTTGTCAACATGTGTTTCCAAGGGGCACATCAGTGCAGGCAGGAGCTGCCATCTGCTGTGTGCAGATTGACAGATTGATGGTCGGCTGATTGACAGTTAGAAAAGCTTACGTGGACTTAGTGTTAGCATTACCTTTCCAGAGTGGAGGGGGCTGTGCATTCTGTATGAAGAAAAACCTTCTCCTGACGTAGGAAGGATTGTCCATCTTGACTCCTTGCATGTGTAATTTTCCCCTTTCTGCTTTGGGGGCAGCCATGTTGAACTCAGCCAAAGGAGTCCTGTGTCATAAGTCTTTTATTTTTCTGCCTACTAGATAAAGAATTTTCTTGCTCAAGATAAAGAATTTTCTTGAGGTTTGCAAATTATGTTCTAGATGTCCAAATGGCCCCATTATTGATGTTGTCCTGAGAGGAGGATGGACAGTTTGATCGTGTGGCTCTTTGAGTCATTTGTGGGGCTGTTAAGCATTAGCCTGAAACCGTAGGTGAAGGTGGGGCTGGACACTTCTAGGGATTGAAGCACATTCATCTAAATCGAAATCTAAGGTGACTGCCAGCATTACATCCAAGGACAAAGACCCATTCCCTACAGCTAAATCAGAAATGAGTGAAGGATTTGAGGGAATTCCCTAGGCAAGTGATCCATTCCTAGGTTTAAAAGCACAGAGGAAGTTTCCTTCAGCCTTTATGCTCTGACTCAAAGGTGAGTGAAAATGCAAACTTGGGGTTGTTAGTAAAAAAGTTTTGATTATTGTTATGTATTTTATACATCTAATAGAAAGCTGTAAGAATCATGGAATTTGAGCATTGCTTTTGGCTGCAGGTAATTTTAAACAAAAAATGAAGTTGGTGTTGTTCCCTCCCTTTCTCCCTCCTTCCCTTCTTCTCTTCCTTCCCTCCTAATATGCCTATAGGTTTAAGAGTTTTTCATTTAATGTGAGAATAAAATTAAACAAAATGACTGAAAGGCCAAAAAAAGAGGAACAAAAACTCAAACAAACAAAAAACCTAGTATCTTCTCGACTCTCATTTCTCTTAGTTCCTTCAGCTAAGCCTTATCTGCTTTGCAAATGAAAACCCTAGAATGGCAGAAGGAAGAAATCCTCTTTCTGTAATTCCAGAAGTAAGCATTCCCAAACTTGATGGCACTGGCTGACTTTCCCCAGGAGCTATGTCCCTGGCTCTTCCTCCCTTTAGTTCCTTGGGGGGCAGGTTTACCAGCTCTGACCTGCAGCTTGAACTGTCACTGGGAGTGCAGGCAGGTTCAGCTTCCACAGGAAGTCTGCCCTGGGGGGCTATGTGGGAAAGGATGTTGTGGGTGGAAATTGTCTGTTTTAACCTTTCTAGACTTGATTATCTTATTTCTATTGTGTGTTATTTCCTGAAATGAGCTTTACCAGTGTGGTTTCCAGAATCATTTTAACTTGACCTTTTCATGGAAATCACTTTCACAGGAACCTTCTGTGGGGAAGTGGCTTCAGCTGCTATGTGGTTTTGTTTTTATGGCATCCCAGTTCACAGATGAAGAAATTGAGGCAGTTCTTTTTGGGGAGATTTATATGTACTGTAAGGGCAGCAAATGTGAGATGAGGCTTGTGTTACATGTCTCTTATGCTTTAGGTTATCTTTACCCTGATACAGCTATGAATATTATCATTTCTCAGGAATATTTTCTACTAAGCTGATTTAGGAGGAATTAAAACTTTTTTTTTTTTTCATCATGCAAGATAGAAATGTTGCTACTGTTGGGGAAGTATAATTAAAAACCAAATCTTCTCCCAATCCAGAAATCCTCTCCATAAAGTAGTAGAGAATAAAAACAGCCGTATTATGGAATATGCATCAAACCAGTGTGTGAGGCACAGCACAGGCAGTCTGCTAAGAGATTGGAAAGACAGAAAGAAATCTCACTCCTAAAGCAGCTGAGCAGATACAACCCAACACATACATGTGTCAAGGCAAACAACAACTAGTTCTCAACTAAGAAGACATATAATTCATCCTAACTGTACCTGGTAATTGGGATGACCATCTGTATTAACTTATTGGCTTTATCTAGAGAAAACAAACCTCATAGCTTTATGATAAGAAGTAGATTGACAAATTGGAGCAAGGCACCCACAGAATTTAGATTTATACCTTCTCATGGAAACTGGGGGATAAGGGTGCTATTTACCTAGATATTTACTTTTCAAAGAGATGGCTCCCAGGTCCTAGAGAAAGACATTCCTAGATCCCAAAGCTGACAAAAGGCCTATGTGGTTTTCAAAAGGATTTATGTACATTACAAAGAGAAAAGAAAGTAATTATAAGTTTTCTAAAGAAAATTATGAAAAAGGAGGTGGGAGAAGTCTCTTCTATTATTTCAATAAGGAGAATTAACTCTCTTATTTTTAATTAGTTGTTTTTACATTACTACTACTCACTACTACATTTTTCCCATGAAAATTGCCAGTAGGCACTAACCACACTAAGAGGAGAGGCTGTGCCTTTCAGTGCCTTTCGGGCTTTAGCTTATGTTATAGGAGGTCATCAAGTATGACCACAGGCTGACTCTTGAGCTGGACCGAGGAAATCTGCTGCTCTTCACCCACTCCTTGTCCTGGGAATGTGTGTTCCCTCCACTGTTTCCATAGCTGGAGCCATTTTCAAGGGATCAGCCTTGAAAGAATAATGTGTTGTTGAAACCATCTGGACTGAATACGTGACCGAACCTAGTTAAGGCCTCTGTATGACCTGCCGATTCTGGTGGTCAGGAACAGAAATCTGTCGGGTGGATGCAGAGATCTACTTGTCTTGTGGTCGCCTAAGACAAGCCTTGTAAGTTTTCTTACTTATTAAACCTGCCACTCACCAGTCTGGAGCGGTCTGCCTCTATCTTTGTCTCTCCTTGCCCTCTTTGTCCTGAGGCCACTTTCACATTTTATCCAGGAAGCTCCTGAGGTTTCAAACCAAGAGCATGGAGAAGAATTAGCCAAGAAATGTTCAAGGTGCAGAATCCTGGACTCTAAGCTCTAGTCCCAACTCCGAAGAGTCTAATTCTGTCTGAAAAAGAACTCAGGAATCTGAATTTTTAGCACTACTCAATGTGAAAACTTGAGCAGACAGAACTGAGCTCTGGAGTAAGACTGATCCAGCTTTGGGTCATTACTAGCTACACAGTCTCAGAAAAGTTACTTCTCTGAGCACCAATGACCTTATGGACAAGGACATTTACTTGTCAAGACTGAGTGAGGATGACAAGACTGAATGTAAAATGCCCTAAACAGTGTCCGGAGTATAGACTGTGCACAATAGATAGTAGCTGCCATTCCTGTTATTACTGTGTAAGCTGTTAACCTCAATTATATAAATTTTAGAAATGGACCTCAAACATAAAGTTGAAAGGTCACATAAACTCTGAGCTATCTGCAAGATTTAATAGGTGAGTCTTACTTCATGAGTGCGTTAGATTGGACTTTTTTTTTTTTTTTTCCAGGTAACAGAAATGAACTTGAGCTAGTATAAAAAAAACAAAAGAAAATGAAACATTTATTATAAGGATACAAGGTGTTGTCAGAATGTATGGATAGGAATTTGCTGGGTATTTGGGAGATCTTGGAGGCTGAGAACTTGTATTGGAGGTTCCTTTTTTTTTTTGGTCTCTGCTTGTTTTTGAGAAGCTGCTTCATTCTCTCTCCTCTTTGTAGACTATGTTTCACCTTGGATATGAACCTGAGGCCCAAGATGGGGCTGAGGCCCAAGATGGAGCCTGCAAGTTCTTGTCAACAACCACAAAGTGACAACCATGAAGAAAAAGCTGAGAAGCTGATGGTGGAAGAGGGAAAAGAGCAGCATTGTGGAGCCACCACATCAGCCCTGGACCCCCAACGCTGGACTTCCAGAAATGTGAGGCAGATATACCTCTTTCTGTTTATGCCACCCCAAAGCTGGCTTTTCTGCTACTTGTAGCTGAGCACTCTCCTTCCTGAAATGGGAGTTTGGGTGGTTAGAATCATATAACAGTCATTCCCAAATGGCACGGGGGTGGTTACATTTGTTCTCCTCCGGCCACAGAGGAGAAATTGTGTCAAAAATTGTTTTGGAGAAATTGTGCCAGATTCTAACTTGATTTGCTTATAGTGCTTGACCAGCATCTCCCATGTCTGGAGCTCACATGAATTCTGGCTGGCCTCTGTTAACTGAGCCTGTGCGTGGGAGCAGTCTGCTCCTGAAGGAGGGCCTCCTCTCCTCCCGTCATGACTGAGAGGCAGCAGACCATTTTTGCTGACAACGATATGTACCCCTTGTCCTTAAACTGTGCCCTGTCTAGGGTCTCACCTCCCTGTGGGTTTCCCCGAGTACTCTGCCAAGTCTGGTTTTAATGAGGAATGATATTTCACTAAGGAACCATTTTGTCCTGCCCAGTTAATTTTTCTGTTTTGTACTCTGGAGGCACTCGAGTCGAGCTGAGGTCACCCATACACTGTGTAGGAGGTGTACTGGGGAGACAGTACCAGGTTTAGGTACCCATTGTTCTATTTACATAATTCGTTAAACGTGAATTATTTCTTTCCCACCTTGATGCCAAGGGATGCCACTTCTTGCATAGACAATTATGTTTGCCTATTCATGGATGTTCTTGGCACCTGTCTTCCCCTTCCCAAGCCACCTTGTTTACATTATAACTGGGGTCTGAAGGTCTCTGGCAGAGGGGCACTTGAATTCACAGACGTGGAGTGGCTCACTCGATTAATAGGTAGAACCATGCCTGTGAATATGCCTCCTCTGTCCTTTCTCAGGTGATAAGCTGTGTCAGAGCCTGCCGTCTCTGTCTGGGTGTGGCCATCTTACTCTTTTTCTTCTTCCGAAGCACTCTGTAGGGCTGCCATTGTCACTTGGGCCCTGCCTAGCAGGAAGAGCCCTAGAAGGGCCTGCCTGCGTTAAGCCTAAACCATATGCTTTAGCCCAGTTTAACAAAAATCTCTGCAATGGAAAGGAGGGGCACAAGTCCATCCCACTGTAATGAAATGGTTTTTTTTATGAAATGAATTTTTTTCTATTTTTTTCTTGTCCTGCGGGAGTTTATCTCCCTCAAGAACATCACAGAAAACAGAACCCGAGACAGGGTTTAGGTATCCTGAGTCCTCAAGTCAATTGGCATTTAATAATACCCCAAATCTTTCAAAGCTCTACAGCTTATTAGCAACAGATATGTCATCTCGTGATTACCTTGATTCTCTCTGTCTAGAGCAGGGGTTACAGACCCAAGTTTTAATGTTTGGAAGCTAGGCAGGTAACATAAATGAACGAAGCAGGCTAGGGGAAATCGTGTGTCCCCTTGGTATCTCTTGTTTCCCCATCTGTGATAGAGACATAGGTACAGAGAAGCATTCCTGTGTACTACCAGGAAAACAAGGTTAACATCAATTATAAATGGCAGCTGATAATTGTCCTTAGTACTGGAAATACTATAAGGAATGCTGGGGACTGTGGCAAACTGGAGAATACATGCTCTCTGTGGGAAGCCAGTTACTACTCATGTGGGAATATAGGTTTATTATTGCCAAAAGTTCTATGTTTTCAAATTTTCAAATTTCAAAAAATGCTAGATATTTTTTTGGGGAAATTTCTGAGTTTGAAACATTAGCTGAATATTTAAACAAACAAACAGACAGACAAAAAAAACTAGCCACTGTGCAGATCAATTTCAAATGTCTGGGAGCCACCAGATTGCAACTTTTGGCTCAGAAGATGAAGCTCAAGCCACTTAGCTTGGCACATAAACTTCTTCATGATTCTATCTGTACTGCCTCTTGCCTCGTTTCCTACTTCTCTTCAGACACACCACAGATACTCAGCACTACGCTTTCTACTTTTGCCTGGAGACAAGTTGTTGCTTGGAATGTCCTTCCCTGATTGGTTAATTCTGTAAATAATTTATTCTTAAAAATCCATACCAAAGTCATCTCCTATTTCAACTCTTTCACAACCTTCTTACCGCCTTCCAACCAGGCAGGAATATAGTGTCTCATTTCTTTGGGTCTTTTTTTTTTTTTTTTTGAGCAAAGTACATAGTCATCTTAGAGAATTTGCCAGTGTCTCTTGTAACTGTTGGTTGCATGCCCATCTTCCCAGCTCATTATCAATGCTGTGTCTTTGTGTTCTTAGGACTCAGCTTAGTGTTTGGCTCTGGTTCAGTGCTCAGTAACAACTATTTGACTAGATGAATAAACAAATTCACTGTACACCACATCTATGTTAGATTTAATTTTCTTGCAAGATATCTTCATATTTGTTGCAATAAAATATTTGTAAGTGTGACACTAATTATCACTTATGGTGGTGCACAGTTTGAATGGTTTAAAACGTAGCTAACCTGTGTTAGAAGTAGTTATGTGTTGTTGACTTCTCAGGGTGATACCACTCATTTCCAAAGGAGGACATCTGAAGTGGCATCCTTACTCTGAGTTAAAACGTTAAAAGTTAATGCAATAGCTTCATTCTTTGTTAAGGGCTTATCTGATCAAGCAGGAGTAAGGAAGGGAGGAGGGATGATATGGGGACTTGTTTTTTACATTACTCTTTTCCCCAAACTGGCAAGATTAATAGAGGAGTTAAGACAAGGATGAATACATATGCTATATCCATTGACAGAGCAATAAAAGGCAGTTAGCTGTGATATTCTATTTGTATTTAAGTTTACAGTTCTAAGTACACTTCCAACCCCTCCCTCTGACCACCCAGGCCACTTGACATTTTTCTCATCTGACAGCTCGGAGATAGGAATTTTATAAATGTCTCTTTTGGGGTTAGTTTTAAAAGAAAAGAAAAGCGTGCTAAGTGCAATGGCTAAATTATGAATTTAATCAAACCCATAATTTAAGTATGCCCCAAATAATAATAGGCTGCAAGCTTGTCAGGCTGTGCCGGGTCTGGTTTGTGTTACATGGTTTACAACAACAGAACCACAAAGCAGAGTCCTTTAAGTGCTTTTACCCATTAGCTTCATCAAGTAATTGCAGGCTTGTAGGCATCAATAACAACGAAGGTTGATACCTTGGGAGAGAGACGTGAATCTTTCCCCTTATAGATCTGGCAGGAAAGGAAAGTGCCGTGATGGATGCACTGCAGGCATGTGGGTGTTCAGAGCCCAGAGAAGGGAAGTAAGATGAGTATACAAGAGAGTTTCTTTGACTGGCTTAAATGAACACCCCATTCACTTTTATTTGGTCCCCTTGACTCATTTAGTGTTCAATAGGATCTCAGTAGGCTCCCTGCCGGACGTCTCAGCATGCATCGTCTTCAGAAAATGCTATGTCTTGAAAATAAAAATAATAAAGAAAAAAACTGGTAATGAGAGCGTATCAGATAGCAAATAGCAAGAAATGTCTTCCTAACTCAAGTCTAAGCAGGGAGTAAGACACTAGCAATGAAAAGTACAGGCGAAAAAATATAACCTATCTAAAACCAAGCATCCTCCCCTCCCCCGAAATCATTTATTGTGAAAAATTTTGTGTTCTTGGTCGACATTCATCTTGGAAGGTCACAGTTTTCTCTGGTTAGAAATGTTTATTATTATAAGTATTTATTACATTTCTGGAATGAACGATATCAAAATCTTTTGTTTAAGACAAGTTTTAGGTCAGTAAAAACAGTAAATATATATCTAGATTAACTTTACATTAAAAATGTTGACTTTAGAGATTGAATTGCCAGATACTTTTTTTCTTGGGTGAAATATATTATTGGAAGTTTTCTCAGTGTTATTAAAATATACATTTTTACTGTATGCTCAAAATTTACTGAGGGCACCCGTAAGAGTTTGAGTTACCTCTTAAAACTAGTCTTGACTTGGAGGAGACACATTTTAGAGAAAGCAGACCATACTTAAAGCCATTTTTGTAGTTCTTGTCTTGAGCTATATAGAGCATTCCTCAGGGCTGTGAAGGAATGCTGGCTACATATGACAATCACCTGGGGAGCTTTAAAATATGCCGATGCCCACCCTTTGCCCAGATATTCAAATTTAATTTATTTCAGTGGGTGGAATGGAAGGGGCATTGTGGGCCTTAAAAAAAAATTCCCCCAAGTGGTTCTGATAGGTGTTCAGAATTGAGAACCACTGGAATCATGAAGATTGGGTGACCCGCTGTTATGCGTTGAATTGTGTTCTCCAAAAAGATATATTGAAGTCCTAATCCCTGGTGTTTGTGAGTGCGATCTTACTTGGAAATGGGGTCTTTGCAGATGTGATTAGTTAAAATAACGTTATATTGGATTAGGGTGAACCCTAAATTCAGTATGACTGAAACCCTTATCAGAAGAGAAGAGAAGAGACACAGAGAGACATAAGCACACAGGAAAAATGGCCATGTGAAAACAAAGGGAGAGATGGAAGTTATGCTGCCACAAACCAAGGAACACTGAGGATTGCCAGTCACCACCAGAAGCTAGAAGAGACAAGAAAGGATTATTCCTTAGAGCTTTGCAGGGAGCATGACCTTGCTGACACCTTGATTTTGAATTTCTGGCCTCTTATTTTTTTAGAACGGCAAGAGAATAAATTTTTATTGTTTTAAGCCACCACACTGTGTGGTAGTTTGTTACAGCAGAGCTAGGAAACGAACATATCTTTTCTTCTCTGTCAGAAGTATGGCATGAACTCCTAGGAAAGATACTAAAAGGAAATTCTTCTTAATAAGATTTGTTAGATCTTTTAAAAAGCTTCCAGAAAGAGATTGGACTGTTGCCTGTTAAAATAGTGTGACCAACCATACCAGTTTTCCCAGGAGTTTTGGGGACATGGGACTTTTAGTTAGTGTTAAATCTAAGAAAGTCCCAGGTAACCCAGCACAAATTGTTTACCCCAAAAAGGATGGAGTCTTGTCAGATCAGATTGTCAGAGT